AAAGTGTGACCGGAGGAGGCACTCACGGAGGATGGAGACGGTGAGAGAGAGAGAGAGAGAGAGAGAGAGAGAGAGAGAGAGAGAGAGAGAGAGAGCGAGAGCGAGAGAGAGGAGGAACAGAAAGAGCGAGAGAGAGAAGAGAGGGGGGAGGAGTGAGACAGGGGTACGTTACGTAGAGTGAGGGAGAGGGGGATAGGTGAGAAAGTGAATAAGGAGAGGAAAATCACTTTGAAACAGGATTTGGCGGCGCTCTGCGTCGTTCGTCGCGAGTCGCAGCCCAAGGTAACACGCCAGCCCGCCGCGGGGGCGGGGCAGGGTGGAAGGGCACACTCCGCCCGCCGGTGAATATTGGATGAGGGCCCGCCCCGCCCCGCTGCAGCAGCAGCAGCAGGGCCGGCCTGCCAAACCGACGAACTACGTTCCGCCGCCGCCGCCGCCGCCGCCATACGTCCAAAGTTGACAAACTATTCCGATGAAAACTTTATCCGTTTGGCTGGCGCTGGCTGCAGCGGCAAGGGCCCGGCGGCGGCGGTCGCGGCATGCCGGGTGACAAAGGCCCACACCGCCACGACCTGCTGGGCCGCGACCCGCTCGCAGCGGTCGCCCCGGCACCCGTCGGGCGTCTCCTTCCTCTTCAGATAGAGCGGCGCGAGCTGAGAATGGGGCACTCTCTTTCGGGCCGGGAAGCGTGGGTGGAGGAGGAGCGTCCCGAGGGTTCATTCCACACGCACGCATACACACACGCACACATACACACACACACACTCACCGGAGGGTGCGGTGTGCGCTCAAACGTATCAGTGCCCTTTCAGGAAGCAGCATATTCATAAAGAAGCAAAGAAAGGACAAGCAAGTCGTTTGCGATGGGAGGGGAGGGGCAAGGGGTGGGTGTGATAAAGGGGAGGGGAGGGGTGACTGGGGGAGCAGGGTCTGCCCCGGCGGGATAAGGGTGATCAACAGCGATATGAATACGAGGTAAACTCCCCATCGTGGAAGGGTGCACTGTTAAAAATGTTATGAAAATTCATAACATTTTTGTTATTAATTTTAATAACATGCGTGATTTCATAACTGGTGTTGTGAAAAGTAACAATCATGTTATGAAAATTCATACGAGTTGTGAAAATTAAGAAATGTTGTGAATTTTCTCAACAAGTTATAACTTTTATGAAACATTTATAAAAAGTCATAACTGTTAAAGGTTCAAAAAATATCGATTTGTTGTACATGTGTACTAACCACAGTAGTTCTACCAATTTTTCGCACGCGTATAGATCAGTACATGCGCAAATTTCGAAATAGAAGGACGGGAAGCCAAAGTCGATGTTGCCAGCGTTCACCACCAGATGGCGTTTCAAATCTTCGGGGAATGTTGAGTACAAATAAATGTCTATATTCTCTAACGATATCGGAATTTGAACATAGTTTTTGACTTTTTCAGAATAAGAACGGTTATCCTCACATCGTCTGCATCTTTAACGTTAACATTCAACACATAGTATGGCGTTATCGCTTAGTAACAGTTAGCTCGCGCTGATAATATACAACGGCCTCTCACCTAGGGTGCTGACCCGTCACCCTCGAGTTGTGCTTGTCCTTCGTAAGAAAAGGAAGCATCAAGCACAGTAATTTTTAACAGTTGTCAACTGTCTAATTTGATAGTGTCACTTACAATGGAAGTATATATGCAGTACAATCCCCGGAACTTCTTTGATCGATTCGAAACTCTCACAATCTCATGTTGTTACTTTTCACAACATATGTTATCAAATTTCATAACATAAATGTTATGACTTTTCATAACATTTTTGTTATTAAATTTAATAACAATGTTAGTGTTAATGCTTCACAAAAATGTTATTAAATTTAAGAGAAAATTTTTTAACAGTGTGTGGTGTTCGTGAGCGAGCGAGAGTGAGAGAGAAAGGGAGAAGGGATGCAAGAAAAAGTTTGAGGAGCGGAATGGGGAAATGTTATGACGCCTAAGTGACTTAGGTGGCGCACTTCGGCGCACCGCCGCGTCGTCTCTGGGTCTGGGTGAGAGCGAAAAAAAAGGAAAGAGAGAGAGAAACAACAAGAGAAAGAGAGTCAAGAAAGAGTGAGAGAGACAGGGTCGAGGAAGAGTGAGAGAGACCAGGCGGAAGTGAAGTTGAGGGGGGTGAGGGAGAGAGGGGAGGGGGGAGTACAAGAGCAGAGTGAAGGTGGCGCAATCCTGCTAATGAAAGGTAAGGGGAAGGAGCAAGGGCGCCAGGAGGACGGCTATACAAATGTGACAGCGAGGGGGGAGGGGGAGGGGGGAGGAGGGGCGTGTGTGAAGGGGTGCAAGTGGCAGTAAACGGCCCATCCCTCTCCCCAAGCCATTACCCTTTTACACACACGCACACACTCACACTAGCCCGGCCGAGAGATAGGTGTCCGTCCCCCGAGGCGCACTCTCCCCCCCCCCCTTTTCCCTCACGGGGTCCAGGAGTGCCCCGACGACCCTTTTCACCGACGTGTCGATGACCAGCTCCCCCTATCGTCCCATCGCCGCGGCGGCGCCTTTCACCGGCGCGATCAACACGCCGATCTGAGTATCAGGGCGCGTAAACGTCGCCATCCACCCCAAGTTATTGCCACCGCCGTCCTTACCACCGTCACCGTGACATCTGCGACGCCAACCTCACTATGAAGGTAGATTTAAAAAAGAATAAAAATAACGGATTAAAAAAAATCAGACTTACGGAAACTAAAAGGATGACGGAGCGTTATTACATAAAGCAATGGGAAGTCCACAATCCGTTAAAATACAGCCTCGAGGCCGAAAAAAGCAAAATCCACGGGAAAGAGCGTCTGAAATATGTATCCCCATCGCAAATGTGCTCCAGTTTGCGGAGCAGGAAGTAGACCGGCCCGGAGAAGGCCAGCGCGCGGTCGTTGGGCGGGTGGCGCGGCCAGCCCACCTGCAGCTGGGGGGAAGAGGTGGGAGGGGGCAAAAGGCAGGTGGGGCGCGACGCCAGCTGCGGCCGTGGTGAGGGAGGGTGGGGGGAGGGAGGCGCTCAGCTCGCGGTAAGAAATGAAACAGAAGGCGGCGGCGAGAGGCTTTTGGCTGAGCTCTGCAAGTATAGGGAGGTAGATGCAATCATCAATCACTTCCCCGATCGCAGAAATAAATGTACCAAAACTTAAAAATGGCGTTATCAAAACTTTAAAACGCAATAACCTTTTTCAAGGAATTTTCACTGACATTTTACTAGAAACGTTCGGGAAAAGAAAGTAAAATTAGCTCGTTGTGAAAAACTGTCCGATTTTAGTGGAGACTTTCAGGGATGGAATGTTGCCTTGTTAGTGCTGATTAGTCCTTTCCTTTTACCGCCGCTGCTCCCGCGCTCCTGGACACCCAACTACCGGCATCGCAACAAGCACACCGCGGGAAAGAACAAGTTATATGAGCGGCAAGTCACCTGTACCACCCGGGAGCAGCAGCAGCAGCAGCAGCAGCAGCAGCAGCAGCAGCAGCAGCAGCAGCAGCAGCAGACTTGGCGTCCACGACGCGACCATATTAACAGCCGGTGCGTACTCGTGCCAAGTGGGGCGCGGCGTTAAAGGCGGGCTGCGTGCGCAGAACGCGACGTGCACCAGCAGCAACAGCGTACTCGTGTAGCGTACACCGGGCAGCGTAACGTGCAGCAACGTACGTGCAGTCCGATGTAATAAGGGACAGGGAACAACGTGAGGCCAACTCTAAGCGGGATTGGGTCGGAAGTGGGTCGCTCTAGGTCGCGCTCTCCCCGTGCCGTCACCGCTGCTGCTGCTGCTCCTGCTGCTGCTCCTGCTGCTGTTCCTGCTGCTGCTACTGCTCGCGCTGCCTGCTTGAAATTAGCTCGGGTATTCATTCTCACAATTGCGACAAGCCAACCGGCAGCGGCAGCGGCGGCGCGCTCCCACCCCACCCGTAGGGACTCTTTTACGCTATAGCGTGCGAAGGGCAGACCAAAAGTAAACAAAACGTTTGTTGTCGGAGACAATCAAACAAACGCGACGACTTTTCTAGCGTCGATATTATTCGCACCATGCTTCAGCCCTTCTTCTCAAACGTTGACAAACACTGGTGAGCAGCGGGTCCCTCTCCGAAGCACCAACCTACCTAGCGTTCTGCGGCCCCACGGACTTGGCCTCGTACGACGACGAGGCGGAGATGGCGCTGTCCGGGATCCGCCCAGCCTCCATGCCGAGCGCGCCCGCGCACTCGCCTGCAACACAGACACAGACAAAACAAAAATGTAACAATAAGTCACGTTTTTTTTTTTTTGAAATTTTTAAAACTAGAGTGAAGAGAAGTATGGTGTGTAAGTAGGAAGGAAAAAGGAGCGCACAGGAGCACGCTTTAAGGAATGCGGATGCTTGAGGTGATGTCGGAAACAGGGGTAGTCCGAGAAGACCTAAAGATATTGGGCACCTGAGGGGGGGAAAGGGGGGGGGGGTGCGAAGAAGAGAGGGAAAGAGAGGGGCAAAAAGGAAGACAGGGGGAAGGGAGGAGGGAGAGGGGTAGCAGCCAAAGCCCTGTGCAGCGGGCGAGCGGGGTTAGTGGGCGGTCCCTGAGCTCGGCAGACGGGATGCGGCCCGCCGGGAGGCTAGGCAACCTGCTGGCTCGGCCGCCGGCGGGGTGCCTACCTCGTAGGCGCTCGCAGCAAAGCAGGCCGCGCTCAGGCCCTTATTCATACCGACGCACGGAGTTGGGGGAGGGGGGTGGGGGTGGGCGAGAGGTGAGGCATCCTTATAATGAGGAAGGCAGCAGCAGCAGGCGAGAAAGTGATCTATACAGGGGAAGCGTCCGTCCGGCCCCGCGCGAGTGTACCAGGCAAGAGCCAAACTTTGCTCGGCCTCCCGCCTCTCCTCTCTCTCTCTCTCTCTCCCTCTCTCTCTCTCTGCCCTACACGCCTGCACTACTCTGCCTGATGCGGGTACCGGGTAAAAGTTCCACCCGCGCACCTCACTGGCTGCTCCAACGACTCAAGCAAGGGAGAGCGAAAGCAGGTGCAAGAGGGTTGTGCTCTCGAAGCAGCGCGCGGGATGCAGCAGTGCGAGAACCGGTGAGAACGACGGGCATCCCGGCGACTGTGTCTGCTGCTGCAACATTTATACCCACGCTAGCTGCCTCGCCCACTCGCCCCCGCCTGCCCTCAAAGCTTGCGCGCGCTGGAGTGGTCTGCGAGGAAACACTATGGAGCGAGGTGGAAGCAGGAGTAGAGAGAAGTGGGACACGGGTACGTCTCTATACGGGGGAGAGTAAGAGAGTGCGGGTGGTCGCGGTCCTGAACTCGATGGAGACGCTCACGACGGTGGCATCTCACAAACAGAGGGGCCGTTAGCCGGGTGCTCCAGCTTCAGAGGCATACTGTATATAGCGCCTGATGGGTAGGCAACATCTCGCCCCCAATGCACGCGTGCACTGCGGGGTGGCCTACCTCGAGTGTAACAGGCGCCGAGCTCCCGTCATGTGCCGAACGAATTTGATAGGAAAACGGGACGAACTCTCTGAACGATCCCTTACGAAAAAAAAAACTTCCGTCGTACTCAACATCCAGTGTACATGTAGACGCTTGACTATGCCACAATAATGTGTGTAGAAGAGGGCGCCCTAAATCGAGGGGTCGTCAACTTCGATATTCCTCCGTACACGGACTGATATTACCTCAAATATTACACCAATATTAGCCGTATTACTGGTAATATTACCTCGATATTACACATTTTTCTAGTATTATGACGTCACAGCTTGAAAATTGGCTCAATATTACCAATATTATTTGTAATATTCAATATTCCTCCGTACACGGCCAAGGAGAGTTGACGACCCCTCGCCCTAAATCATTTCCTTGAGCGTCTGCTGCGTATGGAGAGCAGGCTCGTCGTGCGTGTGAGCGCGACACGCACAAGGTCCTAACTCAACGACGCTGCTCCTAAGTGCCGGCGCGCCAATTATTTCTCGTAAGGGGGAGGGAGATAGAACGGTTCACGCCTAAAAATAATTACAAAAACACACCGCTCTGGAAAAGCTGTGCAGGGTTTGCCAGCAGCACTGTAAAAAATAATCACGGTCGCCCATACGGAAATATGCCGTTTACTTAACCTACGGCGTCTCCGTACCTTGGGTTTCGTACCCTCTTCCCATAAGAGCCCATGTAAAAAAAACGTGGGTACGGAGCCAGGGTACGGAAAAGTACGGAAAAAGTCCTGCTAATTTTGATCCCAAGGTCTTCGTCTTGAGTACGGAGTCTGTTACGGTGTTCCGTACCCCCTTCCCTATGCTAGCCCATGTAAAAATCGTTGGTACGGTGGCCATGCACGGCAAATCTCAAAACCACTTTCGAAAAACACTCCCAAAAGTGAGATACGGAACGCCGTGACAGGCTCCGCATCCAAGGCTGATTTTTTACAGTGAGCACGCGCACCGCGCACCGAAGCAGGGTTGCAGGCTTTACATTACCTACAGAAGAGCAGCAGCGGGCGATATCCAAGCACAAAAGAATTAGCTGCGGCCACACGAAAATAAATGGCCCCTGCTTACACAGCTACAATTATATGAGAAATGTACACACAGTGTGTGATTGCCTGGGGAAGCAGTGTATTACCCCTTGGAAACACCACACAACCCCCCCCCC